CCGTTACCACCATAGACACACCCAGCCAATGGGCCACATCCAGCCAATGGGCCACACCCACCCAGCACCTGACGATGTGTAAGTGGGTTTTGGGTTGCAGTTTGGGCACTCGGTCTCTACAAGGTTCGCCATCACTGTGCTAGATGTAGGAGAAGGACAGGCAGAGCCTGGGGGCGGAGACAAGAGAGGAATCAGCCTAGAATCATTACGTTCCCACAAGCAGTCTAAATCCAATATTAGAATATACAATAACAGAGTTGGAAGGGACCGTGGAGGTCTTCTAGTCCAACCCCCTGCTCAGGTAGGAAACCCTATCCCAGTGATGGCGAACCTTTTAGAGACCGAGTGCCCAAAAACTGGCCCCACCCCACTCCACCCCCTGCCCTGCCCCGCCCCTGCCCCGTCCCCACCCCACCTACCCACAGGGCCACTCACCGCCTCCAGGGCCCACCGCAGATTGCCCAGGCAGCCGAGCAGCACCATGGCGGCCACACCCTCTGCCCACGCCCCGCAGCATCAACTGTGCGCGATGGGGCGTGAGGGCAGAGTCTTGTCTATGCTGCCTGGCTGCCATGTCCCTGGCTGCACTGCTCCACGTGGGCCACGCTCGGGGGCGACTCTCCTCCAGGGGGGCTGCTGGTGAGGGGGGCGTGGAGGGAGGTGAGGCTGGGGCAACGGCATGTGTGCCCACAAAGAGGGCTCCGAGTGCCGCCTCTGGCACGCATGCCATAGGTTCGCCACCACTGTGCTAGATGTTGGAGAAGGACAGGCAGAGCCTGGAGGCGGAGACAAGAGAGGAATCAGCCTAGAATCATTACGTTCCCACAAGCGGTCTAAATCCAACATTAGAATATAGAATAACAGAGTTGGAAGGGACCATGGAGGGCTTCTAGTCCAACCCCCTGCTTAGGCGGGAAACCCTATACCATTTCAGACAAATGGCTGTCCAGTCTCTTGTTAAAGACTTCCAGTGTTGGAGCATTCACAACTTCTGGAGGCAGGTGGTTCCGCTGGTTAATTGTTCTGACTATCAGGAAGTTTCTCCTTAGTTCTAGGTTGCTTCTCTCTTTCATTAGTTTCCATCCGTTGCTTCTTGTTCCGCCTTCAGGTGCTTTGCAGAATAGCTTGACCCCCACACACACTTCTTTGTGGCAACCCCTGAGATATTGGAACACTGCTATCATGTCACCCCTAGTCCTAAGCCTTCTTGAATTCTGTTAACTTTTAGCTAGCACCAATTTAGTGTTGACCATTATTGACTACATTCTTGTTTATAGACATGAGCTTGATTGGAATTTACAGGCCTGATATTTTGTGCCTGACATTACAATCCTTTTGAGCACATAGCTCTCTACTTCCTTCCTTCCTTCCTTCCTTCCTTCCTTCCTTCCTTCCTTCCTTCCTTCCTTCCTCCTTCCTCCTTCCTCCTTCCTTCTTCCTTCTTCCTTCCTTCTTCCTTCCTTCCTTCCTTCCTTCCTTCCTCCTTTTTTCTCTTTTCCTCCCTTTCTCCCTCTCTCCCTCCCTCCCTCCCTTCTTATCCTTTCTCTCCTTCCTTCCTCCCTCCCTCCTTTTTTCTCTTTTCCTCCCTTTCTCCCTCCCTCCCTTTTCCTTTCTCTCCGTCCTTCCTTCCTTCCTCACTCCCCCTTTTCCTTCCTTCCTTCCTTCCTTCCTTCCTTCCTTCCTTGTTCTTTGACAAGTTCCTGTTAGCTCTCTGTGTTCATACGTTCAGCACTGGGATTGTTTCTTGTTCTTTTTTCTTTTTGGAAATTCTAATATAATTTTTAGTGGCCTGTTGTTTTACATTGCACACATTTATATTGGAATCCTGAGTTCTATTCAGTTGCAGGTAGAACTGTAAATAATGACATCTCTTTATCAAAACGTATGCATATTATACATCAGTTTGATAATTTATTAGGTTATTTTAATTCACTGGATAAGTCCCATAATTTTCTTTAAGTTCTGAAGGTTTTGTGGAAAGTTCCAATGATTAGAAGTTTAATTGTTTGAAAGTTTGGAAATACTTACTCCAAGGAAACATTCCTCCTTTGTGGTTCTAAATGCATTCTTTTTTTTTTTTTTTTACAAAATCTGAGATGAAAATTGATGTAAACAGGTCATTTAAAAATTCCATAGAATTTATGGGGAAAGTTCAAATGTAGTAAAAACAACTGCTTCAAGAATATATTAATATACTAAATTAGAAATATTCCTCTGTTAATACTTTTTACATTTTCTAGCAGATCGATATGATATTAGGAATTTTTAATTGAAAGAAAATGGTTAGATTTTCTTCATCCAGTCTGTAGTTAACATATGATTGGAGTGTTAGTATTTTTTATTTTTGGCTTTATCGTTCGCAATATATCTGGATTTTGCTTCATTATGGAATTACAGATGAAATAACAAAAGACAGTATAAAGTAATGTTCGAATAATGATAGGATTTTGCGTTTATTTTAGTACAGCTCTGTTATATTTCCTGCTTTAAACATTTGGAAGATGTTTTAACAGAAGTATAATTTTGACCCTGGTGGTTTTTATCAAGATCCTTACACTCCTACTTTAGGCTGAGCGTGCAGAAACATTTATTTATCTTACTTTTATGATGGTTTATTGGGCAAGTTAAGTGACTTACAAATACAATAAAATATATAGCTCAGTCCAATTAATAAAATCATACACAATCCATCCATAAAACTCCGGTAATAGATGAGTAATTTTGATAATAAAACTGGGGAGTATATCTTTTTTCATTTGGAAGTTATGTACCATTTATTCTAGATCAGTTTATTTCCAATCAACTTTTCAAGCCATTCGGAGGAGAAATTTGGATTGCTTAGGACAGGGCTTTTCAGCCTTTTCACCCATTGTACCACTTTTAGGATATGGCAACATCCGAGTACCACCAGTCGCCTAGCAAGGTGTCAACAACTTGATGACCCCCCCAAAAAAGGAAAAAAGTGATAAAGTACAGGTAGTCGTCGACTTACAACAGTTCACTTAGTGACTATTCGAAGTTACAATGGCACTGAAAAAAGTGCCCCTCAAGGCACAGCCAAGCAAGACACCTGCCTGCCCACCCGGCCGCGTTCTTCCTCCTGTCCGAGGTTTTCATTGTTCTGAGAATTTCTGTTGAGGATTGGCAGCGGGGGTGGGGGGGTGTTTGGTTTTTATTCTCCCCCCCCCCCGTCTGCTGGGTGGTTGCAGCAGGTTTTGGTCACTTCACATGACCCTGGGACACTGTGACCGTCATAAATATGAATCAGTTGCCAAGCATCTGAATGTAAACCACAAGACCCTGGAGAGGCTGCAACATTCCAGCTGATCAGCACTTCTTCTGGGCTCAGCAGAAGCACCAGGATCAGCGCTGAGCTCCAGCTGGAGCCTGGCGCTGATCCTGGCGCTTCCGCTGAGCCCTGACAGCCCTGCAGCTCCAGCCGTCTCTCGCTCAGGCTTGTGCGGTTCTGCCACCGGTTCAGCTCATTCCCCTCCCCCACTACCACTTTTCTAGGATGGTCACGTACCACCTGCCAGGTGCCAATGTACCACAGGTGGTACCCGTACCACTGGTTGAAAAGCCTTGTCTTAGGATTGCAAAAATGATAATATATTAAACTAAAGCTTCATTAGGTAAATGTCTATGGATATTCTCAATCATCCAGGTCACATTTGTCCCAAAGGTGATTTTCAAAAGGCAACTAAACTTTCTTTGTTTTTTCCTTGAAAACATTTTGCTTCTCATCCAAGAAGCTTCTTCAGTTCTGAAGAAGCAGAGATCTGACGAAGCTTCTTGGGTGATAATTGAAACATCTTCAAGGAAAAAAAACCAAAGAAAGTCCAGTTACCTTTTGAAAAAGCACCTTTGGGTTGATTTGGCAATGTAGCCTGGAGGCATTAGGAGCATCTAAAACACCTGAATTATTACCCGTTATTGGAATATGCTTGTATCATTATGGAGGTTTTAAATAAAATAATAACTAAAAGATAGGCTACATGATTAATTATTTGCATGAACTCTGGAATAGGGGATGAGAGTTTAAGGACATGAATGTGCTTATGAATTATTTTAAGGTAATCCTCAACTTACAACCATTCTTTTAGCGACCGTTTGAAGTTATAATAGCACCCAGAAAGGGACTTATGACTGGTCCTCCTATTTACAACGGTCGCAGCATCCTCACGGCCACGTGATCAATATTTGGGTGCTTAGCAAGCAGCACGTTGCAGTGTCCTGTGATCTGCCATTTGCAAACTTTCCCAACCAGCTTCCTGGCACGCGTGCCATAGGTTTGCCACCACTACCCTATACCATTTCAGACAAATGGCTGTCCAGTCTCTTCTTAAAATCTTCCAGTGTTGGAGCATTTACCGCTTCTGGAGGCAGGTTGTTCCACTGGTTAAGTTTTTCCTTAGTTCTAGGTTGCTTCTCTCCTTGATTAGTTTCCATCCGCTGCTTCTTGTCCTGCCTTCAGGCACTTTGGAAAATAGCTTGACTCCCTCTTCTTTGGGGCAGCCCCTGAGATACTGGAACACTGCTATCCTGTCACCTCTCGTCCTTCTCTTTGTTAAACTAGACATACCCAATTCCAGCAGCCTTTCCTTATATGTTTTAGCCTCCAGTCCCCTGATCATCTTTGTTGCTCTTCTCTGCACTCTTTCTAGAGTCTCAACATCTTTTTTACATCATGGTGACCAAAACTGGATGCCGTATTCCAAGTGTGGCCTTACCAAGGCCTTAAAAAGTGGTATTAATCTTCCTAGTATCAAAAAGAGCTTTGGCTCAGACTAATATTAGAAATATTTTCATTTTTTTTTGTACAGATCTGTTCATTTTTTTCACTGTCTGTGCAAGAATTTCTTTTCATTCTGAATAAGCGGTGTTAAAAGCCTGCAAATAATTAAAATGCCTTTTGATAAATGTGAGTAAAAGCATTGTCTTATCTAAGGTATGTATGATGATGATGATGATGATGATGATGTATCTCTTTTGTTGAGCAGATTAGTGGTGAAGCTCAAGAACTTTACTCTATCCGACACGGTCCTGTGAGAGCAGCCCGGGTCCTGCCATCCCCACAGATCAGTAAGTACAGAACCCTGTATATCCATTTTCTTCTTTTCTTTCTCCTTCCTGGATCCAAGAAGGAACTTGATTGATCATACAGTTGCTAAACTAATTTGAGAGCAAGGCTCTTCTTTTTAATTTCACAGAATCCTCTGAACATAATAAAATGCATTACTCTGCCCAATTCACTTGTAGAATCCGGGTGAATAGGATATTTATCTGAACAAAGTTGGAAGGGGGAAAAAAAAAAGATGGGTGGGAGCTGAGGTTGATTGCACCTGTACCCTCTTTTGTGATATGAAGGTTGTTTGTTTGTTTTTTTTACAACAGTCACTCTCCCACCGAATAACCAACATTTCAGCCAATACATTATATAAGCAAGCAAGCAATATTCTAGTTAGAATGTAGAATGCATTACACAATACAGTACCATAATTTGGTTTAATTTGATCGCCAGGAAAGTGCTTTAAGTTCAAAGTGGATTCCAATCTGAGCCTAAAGCCAGCGTTCCTGATTTTATCTTAAAATGTGTAAGGGACCAAAGGTGGAAGATTATGGACACCATGCATAAATTAACCCAGTCTTGTCTTTTATAAGTCCCCTGGATTATTTGGAAGAATACAGAATTGGGAGCTTAATAACTGTTTAGTCCTGGATTTTGCAATGCTTGGGGGGTGTGTGTGAAAGAGAGAGAGAGAGAGACAGAGAGAGAAAGAGAGAGAGGCAGATAGATGTGGTCATAGTTATCCCAAAGATGCTTTTTCACGAGGCAACTGGACGTTCTTGTTCTTGTTAACAAGAAAGTCCAGTTGCCTTGTGAAAAAGCATCTTTGGGAGAGGCAGATAGGCTTCTGGGAACTGATGTCCATCACTCAGCCCAGTCTTGGTGAATGAAATCTTCAACAACATAACCTTTTTTTGATCAGTTAGAGCAGGGGTCTTCCAACTTGGCCCTTTTATGACTTGTGGACTTCAACTCCCAGAATTCCTCAGCCAGCTTGTCTGGCTGAGGAATTCTGGGAGTTGAAGTCCACAAGTCATAAAAGGGCCAAGTTGGAAGATCCCTGATTTAGAGAAAGTACAGAGTACAGTACACCTTGTTCTGTTACCAGACTAAAATTATTTGAGTTACAGGATAGCTTTAAAATATACATTCTACTCAAAACAGCTTTTGCTACCCTGGTGTTCCAGCTCTTCAGTTGAATGGCAAGACGTTGTAGCGTTCATCTGAACTTGGCTAACAGAGACACCCTTGCAATAGCCTTTTCGGTTAGTGGTGTGAATTGAAACCTCTCTTGTGATTCTGAATTTAATTCCAGGTTATGCAGAATTTTGCATCCCTCCACATCTGTGACTTCCTTCTTTTTTTCTTTTTTGAAAAGCAGGCAGCCTCAAGGGCTGATTTAGCATGTTTCTGTGTTAAATAAAGGAATAATAATTATTTAGGTTGATCTGTAAAGGAAGGCAGATGTTCGAAACGCCTGCATGTGGTCAGGCATCTTGGGTGGCTGCGTGGTTTTCCATCCTCTTAATACAAAAGTAATTCTTCAGCAGATGTATTACACAAACTTAGCTTGGTAGGTGACCCGGTGTCAGTAGCTTTTAGCAGTCTTAAGATGGATCTAGGCGGATCTTGGCTTATTAAATGCTACTATTTAAAGTGATGTATTTCTGGTTAGCTGGGCTAAAATGGAAGCTGTCCTATGCGGGCCTTCAAAAGAAATTACAGGGCCTAATTTTCATGATTTAAACCATTTTAGAGCTATATATTAAAGCGGGTGAAAGTTCTAATGAAATCCACGTTCAGAACACCACTGGCCTTCTTTACGGTTTGACTTTTTATTTATTGCTAAATATATAATCGGCTGTACCCCTTAGAATGTTTTGTTTTTCTGCTTACCGACTTTAGGACTGAATATGGAAACTTTTTGTTAATGTTAACAATTTATGGACTCGGGCAGAAGCGGTTCTCTGCTTAAAAGCGAAAAGTGGGGGGGGGAATTGTTCCTCCAGTGGATTTGGAAGGAAGCCATTTAGTTTTGTTTGGTAATAGATTTAGCACAAAGGCAAGCAATGCGTCACATGAAGGATAATTTAGTGCGGGAAGACGTGGTCATTGCCCGTCGTGTTTCAGCTGCCTTGGGTTTTCTCTCTTAAGAGGAGCCAGCTTTGATGTGGAGAGGCTTCAGTGTGCGGTTGCTGAAAATCAGGGCTTTCCTATATACCGGTAATCCTCGACTTATAACCACAATCAAGCCCAAAAGTTCTATTGCTAAGCAAGACAGTGGTTAAGTGAGTTTTGTCCCATTTTGTGAATTTTCTTGCCACAGTTGTTAAGTGAATCACTGCAGCTGTTAAGTTAGTCACAGACAGACAGACAGACAAGGTAGGTAGGTAGGTAGGTAGGTAGGTAGATAGATAGATAGATAGATAGATAGATAGATAGATAGATAGATAGATAGATAGATAGATAGATAGATAATAAATAGATAGATAGACAGACATACAGATAGATAGATAAAGATAGGTAGATGATAGATGATAGATAGATAGATAGATAGATAGATAGATAGATAGATAGATAGATAGATAGATAGATAGATAGATAGATAGATAGATAGATAGTAGGAAACAAAACGTGAGCACCAGGAGGTTGTAAAACAGTTAAAAGTTTTAATAAAACATTAAAAACCTTTAAAAGAATATTAAAAAGGACCTAGCTTTCGTTGGATCCTACCAACATCGTCAGGGTAAAGAATAACTCAATGGGAGAAACCATTTATAGGCCAGCCAACGCCTGCGCCCGGGCCCTAGATAGATAGATAGATAGATATAGATCAGTGGTTCTCAACCTGTGGGTTGGGACCCCATTTGGGGTCGATTGACCATTTCATGGGGGTCGCCAAGCAAGGCTGTCTGCCATTTTTTTTGTCTGCCACTTTTTTTGTCCGCCATTTTTTTCCCCCTTTTCCGGCGGGTGCCTTACCTCCCTTGGGGTGGGCCA